CAAGAAAAAAGGAATTCTTCTGTGGAAATTAATTCACAACAATATACCTTTGGATTCCATCCTATAATACACATGTGTGGCACTGAAACATTTAGAGGCAAAAAATCTTCCAGGGATCATAAATGCATGTCATCGTGAATATGCTTTTTAAAAAAATACAACTATCTATGTCTTTAACTTGCTTTGTATGTATGAACTTTCAGAATTTTTTTAGCATTTAATATTGCTAACCAACAGGAGGGCAATTTGTTTGTAAAATAATTTTCTTTTTATGGTGTAGAAAAATACTTATTTATATTACCACAGTAAACTGGGTTGTTTTTTTCTTCCTCTAACATATACATGCTGTCAAAATTTTATTTACCATTCAAACTATGTCAATGTCAAAGACACTTTTGGGGCGGAGGGTGAGAGGAGAGCTCAAGAAAACTAAATAAATAAGAGATTAGTTGCATTCTGCTAATCATGGGTAAAATAGCTAGGCACTGGGTGAATAGACGAGTTACTGCTAGCTGCAGTGATGGATTAGCTGAAGCACAATTAATGTGATTTAATGTGGTTGGATTTTTCTTTTTGAAGTGACTATGTGCCACAGAGTGTCTATGTCATGATTACATGTCTTAGAATGACAAGAAAACATTGATTCATTGTTTGAAATGGAAAAACGGTTTTACAAACGTTGCCTCTCTATGGCATTGTAAAGCCAACCAGCCATGAAAGAAAATGAAATAGCTAAAAAGTTCTTCAAGTGGATACTGTTTTAAGCACAATGCTTCTAGAAAAATCTAATTGTTTATCAGTTGAGCTGAAATGGAAAATTAATCTTTCACGCATAATGAAATGGTATGTTTGACCTGTGGATTCTATAAAGTCTCTGGCTGTTCATTTGTCAGAAGTGAGCTGTTTAATCGTTTCTGAAAGGCTGTATACATTTTTATTTATTTATCATATTTAGTGACTTTAAGACCGACAAAGTGTGAAGTGTTTATTCAAGAAATGGGTTTCTGGCACACGAGCAAAAAAGAAAAGTGAAATGTTTACTTCCCAATAACAGCACATTGTGTGATCTCTGGGTAAGGATCCTGAGACAAGAAAAAACCCCACACCATTCTGTGTTTATCCAGCTTACACAGGCAGACAAGGAAGGCTCCAGCCTGTTATTAAAGTTGAAGTGATACAGCCCCAAACAATGACATCAGTCCCTGAATAATATTGATAAAGTGCAAGAGCAAAAGATATGACACTTCCCAATTTCAGTTTTCATGAGCAGTTCTCAAGAAGCCATAAAATATTTGACACAGTCAAGTGAAAAATACAGCTTGCTTCAAAAGAAAGATTTGAGAGTGTCTCAGGCATAAACATTCACAATTTTCAGTGAAGACAGAGACTGTTTTTCAAGATCTCAGCCCCAAGTCTTTTCTCAGTCATTCTATGTGAGATCCTTTTTTTTTAAACAAAAATAGGTCTGGCAAAAATGGAATTTGTTATCTTTTTTTAAAAAAAATGCGTGTCCTTCTGCTCAGTGACGACTCAACTGCGTGAAACTTGATGTGTGCATAATCAGCACCGTGTCTTTAATTTGGAGGTGGAGAGGTAGAAAGAGAAATCCCATTTTTAGGAAATCAGGGAAAAAAAAATAAAAAGGTCTCTACTTTTCTTCTGGAGAGCGGAGATCTTCAGCATTCTGTGCAAAAGCTATATAAGTTTTGACTGAAACAGCTAGAATCTCAAATTAAGGAACTATCTGGCCTAAAGCAATTTAAAAATCAGTTCATTTGTCTATCTCAATTTCTGACTTAGCCCTTAAATCAGGGGTGTCCAACCTTGGCAACTTTAAGACTTGTGGACTTCAACTCCCAGAGTTCCTCAGCCAGCAAAGCTCCTGCCTTAAATGCTAGATACAGCTATTTCTCAACTTATGACCACAGTTGGGACTGGAACTTCCATCATTAAGCCATGTGATTATTAAGTGAATCCCAGCTGATTTTGCTACCTTTTTTGCCATAGTGGTTAACCAAATCACACAACTGTTAAACCAATCCAGGTTTCCCAATTGAGTTTGTTCTTTGGAAGCCCCCCCCCCCCCCCGCCCCCCAAAACTGCAAATGGTGACAATGTGATCCCAGGATACTGCAACTGTTGTAAAATACATACCAGTTGCCAAGCCCCCGAATTTTGATCATGTAAAGAGGTGAATGTTGCAACAGTCATAAGTGTGAGGACTGGTCATAAGTCACTTTGTATAATAATTGTATACTGTCTTAATTTCAAATAATCATTAAACAAATGGTCATAAGTCAAGGACAATTACTTACATTGCTTGTGATGTCGATTATTATTTGAGCTTCCATTTTTTAAAAGAAATTTGAAAGCGAACAATTTATCTGTCTTGAAGAGTTTATATCGGATGGAGGGAAGGTAGCTGGGAAAGCAGGAAAATGAACCCAGGCATCTGTATGTATGTGGATATACTGCAAAGTCAAAAGAGAAGCTCACATATATGTTTCAAGGTGAAACATGGGATTCTGTGGTGCATCTTTGTGTGTCAATTCTTGAAAGTGTGCATTTCATAGTAATTTTTTTCCAGTAATCATGATGAATAATTTTTGCTGTCCTGGACTTCCTTTTCTATAGATTGTTTCTGTGTGTGCTTTTGATTTTATGTGCTTCACTGTTTGGTACATTTCTAGAACTAACTAGCTATTATTTATTGTCATGCACATACAGTATGTTCTTTCCTTGGCATTTGGATGATATATAAAAGATATACCATGGCAAATTCTGAAAAATGCATGATTATATCATAACACAGTCCTTTAATTATCCCTATGACTGATTATTTAAAATGGCATATGAATATTTTCCCATATCCAATGGTTCCTAAGAGATGCTGCTAGTTTCTCAGCAAAGTATCTTTACTGGTGATGTTGCGGTAGTCCTTTTTTCTCAGCTGGTCTGTGATGCAAATTGACATGTCTCTATTTGAGTATCATAGTAGCAACTGTGAACTTCTGGTAATAAGAGTGGAGGCAGTTGTGTAAGCAGCAATGCTTTAAATTCCTACTCCAGTAACTCCTAGCAGGATTCATAGCAGACATACAAGAAAACTAAAAATAGAAATATTTATTTTATTTTATTTTAAATAGCCATTATAAACCATTTTCATGCTCATTTCAGTGCATGTTGTCTTTGTAATAGTCTTGTCTAGATAAAAAAGAAATCTTAATATAGTATCCCAAACACAGTCAAACTTATTTTGGAGCTAGAATTCAAATAAAGATAAAGAGTTGGCATTTGAAACTTCATTGTCATTCTCATTAAGTAGATCAAGGAA